TCTGCTGGCCGGGGACGTAGCTTAAAAAAGCTTTGGCCTTCCCAGTGTTTATGGGTAAAACACTAATTTGGTGACTTCATTCACCCACAACGCTGAAGTCTGTAGGTCATTCGAGCTTGAGATTAACATAGCGCTATTGTCCGCGTAGTAAAGATCTGTCTGCCAGCGCCTCAGTGCAAACCTAACACCGTCAAAACCACGTAAGGTCTTTCCAAGAATCCAGCCAATGGAATATTTGGACAGAATGGACGGAGGGATGCACTGCTATCAAAAATCAAATCAAATATCGAACGAACAAAAGCGAAGGTCGTTGTAGCAACGTCGATTAGGCTTATGGTGCATTGGTTCCCGCAGGACGGTATTTACTTTTTTTCTTAATGGTGAACAAAAAGGTGCCCAAGCCTCCGTCATCATGAATCATCTATTTTCCCAGTTGGCCAAGTACCTCGTAGAGTCAGGGCACCAGTGTCGACGCAGGACTTGCGGATTTAAGTAGAAATAACATCCCCTCCCTGCGTCCTTTTATTGTCTGCAGCCTCCATATTGCGTGAACAATTTCTCTCCAAAAAGTCAGCGAGGTCACATTAGACTGCATAGCCTAGTGTGGCATGAGACTCCGCTAAAGAGGACGGCGAGAGGGTGATGGGTTTGTAATGGGGACTGAAAAGTTGCTCGCAGCGCCAGCATCAGTGCTGGACCCTGACTAAGTTGTTAGCAATAAGACCGCCAATCACATCGCGAATAGCTACTCGGTGTAGTGGGCCGAAATTATCCGCCGTTTGACGCTCGCTGGTCCGGCCCAATCGTTTTAGCAGTCATCTCTAACCATCGACGACAGTGACCCTTCAGCCACGCGTAAACCCACCTGTCATGGATTGGTTCCTATGCAAACGGAGCACGGTTGATTGTTGTGAGAGGGCGATCGCCACGTCGTACCTAACAGAAAAGTCGCCTGGACCGTTAGAATATAGGGGGAGGTGCGCGTTGAGCCGCAGGATTTCGAGTGCTCGAGCGCATCTATGTTTTGATAATGACTGTCAGTCATCAGATCTTAGGTACCAGCGTGCAGAGACATTAGCACACTCAGGTATTCAGTACCAAGGGCCCGTCCCATAGCACCGAGTGTTCATTTCCACAAGTGGCTCAGGGTTGCGGATCGTCTTGGTCCCCAGGGACACCCTAGCACGGATCGCAGTAATATAATTGGGCATTCTAGTAAGTTTTGTTAGTAATTTCGAACATAGACTGCTTCGCCAAAACCTCTCAGGGTGCTTGCTCGAGATCGTCTCCTACAACGCTTTGACTCCGCAACCTAATTAAAATGCAGGTGGTAAGCAGATGTAGTTCGCCGTGGACATGTCACAGCGTGGTCATCGGACTTTGCGGCATTCTATAAGGCATTCAACGCGCCACATCTCAGTCCTCCGTGCTCTGGTAGCATTTTGGCTGCCGGTCTGTGACAGCCTTTTCGTCAGACCTGAGATCCTGTTTAGTTCGTAGACAACCTTCAACAAAGGCCGTCCTACTATCCACGACCTGTAAAACGCGCTGGCTAGACAGTAACGAGGCTAGCAATGAACCCGTCCACCTTTGACGCGTTCATCGGTCCAGCCTGATTACAGTGGCTCCATCCTGGCAGGCCCGAGCACAAGG